GTCTGAGGGATTAACGGATGGAGAGAGTGGCGGGAGCGTCAACCCTCCGGCAGTTATGGCTCTTTAACACGAGCGCTTCAGATTTATGCGCTGTGAGAGGGATACAGTAGTGCAACAATTATTACGGCTGCTGCAATTAAACTGACAATTTGTAATGTAAATGGTCTTCGTTTTTGCCCCCATCCGGCGCTGGATAACCAGACGACTCGAGAGCGGCGGGAACCGGTTCTCAGGCCTCGGTTTATTTCTCTATACAAACTCTCTTCACTTCCTCATTAGCATTATTTTCTCTTTATCTCTGTCTGTCTTATTTTCTTCCTTTCCCCTAAGGAGGTATCACTATTACTCAGTGTTATTTTAGTATCATCTATACTTAAAAAGTTGATTTATTTCAGTAATTCAACTTAAAAGGTAAAACTAATATATTATATGGACTCAAAGTGAGATTTTTCAAGCCTTTATTTGTTATAATTGTGATGATTATGGCTTACAGCTTATGAAAACTCTAAATTCAAAATGATAATATTGTGAAAAGGTTTTCATAAGCTGTAAGCCATAATCATCACAATTATAATAAAGGCTTGAAATATCTCACTTTGCATGTAATAATATATTAGTTTCAGCTCAACTTTTGCACGATATTCTAATTTTTCGAGTTTCACCTGTAAACAGACAAATAATGATGCAAACTTTAAAAGAGAGACATTTAATGTTCTGTAAAGCAGCTTGAAAAAGACATTATAGTGTCATTTTTCAGTTGATTTAGTTCCGATCAATAACTGCAAAGTTCATTAATTATGAAATGTAATTGGGATATAAGCAGCTCTACAGAAGATAATGTCATTATTCCACTCAATTCCAGTTTTATTCTCATCCGATAGAGTCAGTGCGGTCGCATCAATAACATTTCTGAATATTGCAGGAGACTCGGCGACTGGTTTAAAGCATTTGATGTTTGCATTTTGCAAAGTTATGGAACTGTAATTAGCAGAAAACACACATAAACAGAATATTTTCATGCTCATAAATGAGTGTTATTAAAGCATGCTTTATGCCGGTGAGTGAACACAAATGATCGGATGATTCAGAAATGTGTCAAACGCAATGCATAATGCAAAGCAAACATTGCCGGAAAATTAAGAAATGTATACTTTTATTCAGCAAGCATGCGTTAAATTGATGGCAAGTGGCAGTAAAGACGTTTATAATGTTACAAAACATTCTATTTAAAAAAAAAAAAGCTGTTCTTTTGAGCTTTCTATTCATTAAAGAATTCAGTGATGCACGATGTATCGGTCGATATATGTTCGTTTTCAATGTTGTTATCGGCCTGAAAATTTGGCCGATATATTAAAGCCGATAAATAATGGATTATTCCCTTCATCTGAGACGCTTCATATATACCCTATTCACATTATACAAACTCTCTTCACTTGCTCATTAGCATTATTTTCTCTTATCTCTCTCTGTCTTATTTTATTCCTTTCCGGAGATACCATTATTACTGAGCGTTACTTTAGTATTATCTAGATAGTATTGTAATATTTATTACTATGTTGAATTGGCTTTTATTTTTGTATTTTCTGTTTTAGTAATTTTAAGTATTTCAACTTTTTTAGTCAGTTGCCGAGACAAGTTTAAGTTTTACATCTAATATTTATGTTATTTTATTTCAGTTGCTGAAAATTATTTTAAACAATAACAACGTCTAGTTCTGCTGTTCACACTTCAATATATAGTGATTTAAATACCGTGTCACTTAGTGCACATTTATTTACACTAAATGCACATTTTCGCTAGCAACATGCTAATTCATGCTAGCAACAACACAGTAGCAACCCAGCAAACATTGGTCCGACGGCAACGTCGTGTCCCTGGCCAAAAATAGTTGCGGCCAGGACGTCATAAATCGGTAAAAAATGTAACACAGAACATTTCCTAAAAATGCATTCAGATACATTTGTACATGTCTACAGTTGCATGTATAATTGTTATTTTAACTTTTAGCTCGTGTAGTTATGTTTAGTGTATCGGGTGAGAGGACGTCACCTGGCGACGTCTTTTACACGTGCATTTATAGTCCATCATGACCCTCTATGAAATCCTTGTTAAATATGCAAAAGCTGCGCTTAATCCTCGCATGGTTAATACTGCAATAATTAATGTAGTTGCCCATGAAGTTTTTAAGAGGTTGTGAAGAAGACGTCCACTGGCGTCCTTTACACGTCTAGTCAGGCTGTGTGTGAATAATAACGTCCACTGACGTCTTTTGCACGTCTAGTCTAGCAAGACAGAAAAAAATTATCAGGATTTATAATTCTTTATACGATTTATATACAAATGAATATATATTTACTTTATCTTGTTTTTATAAATTATAATCACAAAATGCACAGTATAGTCAAGTGATTGCAAATGCAAAGCCACTGCATTTTAGTCATTATTTTAACCTGTTGTACCTGATGTATTCGTTGTTATTTTTTTATGGAATGTATATACATGTAAAACAGAAATATACCCGGTCACCATTTATGTCTGAGTTGGATGTAATTACCCAAACCCTCTGCCCAAACCATAAACTGTGCTGCCAAGATGTAGTAACAAAAGGTCTCGCGATATTACAAAATCATGCGATGGGATTATCTCGCGAGATGTTAACGCGTTCTCCCCATAGATTCTGGAACTTTGAACAACCACGAGGAGAGGAGGGAGTTGTGTCGATATTATTATTAAAAATCTACTGTTGGGTAAGTACATTTTGTATTAGATTAACGTGCTTGAGTTTTACTTGTGTGACATGAATGAACCGAAAGAAATTATGCCCACATTGTCAACTGAAATTTACTGAGTTTGGCTAAAATTAGCCAGTAGGCTAAAAGTAACTTTGAACGTATACAACAACGGTAACGTTATACCAAGTATATTGTTTAATGATACAGTCATTACTGTAACTTATTAATGTAGCCTTTTGAGAGTTTCTTTCAGAAAGTAAATTATCTGAAATGGAATGAAATGTTTAGCTGGATTTTAACATGTATGTTTTCAGTAACTGCTTTAAAAATAAAAGCAGAACATATTTTATACAATAAAATAAAATGTAATGCATGTTGATTACCTTTTTCTAATGTGTCATTCATGATTCATTCATCTTGTTCCATGTTTTTTTTTAATTTAGCTGTAGACCATAACAAGTATTTTGAAAATAAGTGCATATCATTTACCTCAAATTTTAATTTAATAATAATTTTATTTATTTAAATATATATATATTATCTTCCCTTAGATGCTGTGAAGAGGTGGAGCCCAAATGCTACAGACTCTGAAATTGATGCAGCAATGGCAGAACACCTGAAACACGCTCCAGGAACAGCTGGTGGATACAAAAACTGAGCCAAACAATGTGTTTTTAAACGGATAGTTTCCCCAAAAATGAAAATTGTCATCATTTACTCAACCTCATGTTTCAAACCTGTATACCTTTCTTCATTGAATTTTCATTTTTGGGTGAACTATCCCTTTATATAATAATTCAGTATTTTGTAATTGGTATTTTAGTTTGGTTAACAAATGTTAAACATTGAAAAAATATTAAGATACATTTTGGCTGTTCAAGATCAATAAAATGTGCTAAATCAGAACATGCTTCTTTTTTTCATATGTCCACAAATAATGTGTTCTTGTTTGTGATGTACACGTGATTAAAACGTTTTATTGACGGTCAGGTCTGACTAGACCAATTTTGGACCTTTTTAGAACCTTTGTCAAGATGTGTAAACTTCAAGACTTGATTGCCTTTCACGATGTTACACAATATGTGTGTGATTATTTTAAATGCAGGCTTATATACACTTAAATTATGCAGCAACACATTTAAACACACAAATGACGACGCATTTAGACGTCCAGGGACGCGCTGAAGAGACGTGGAATTCACGGCCAAAAGAGACGTGGAATTCACGGCCAGATGACGTCAAAGACGTCGGTTCAACTTTCATTTTGGAACTATTTTTCAACCATGACGGGACGTGTCGGACGGACGTCTTTTCAACGGTCATTACACGTCCAAATGTTTGCTGGGAATGATGTAGGGGTTCGAATCCCAGAGTCCGAATCCGTAGCATGTAGCAAGCATGTTTTAACACATTGCTAACGTGAATTAGCATGTTGCCAACATGTTTTAGTATTTTGTTACTAGCATGAATTATCATGTTTCTAGCATGATTTAGCATGAAAAATGCTAATGTCGCATCACTGATTAGTCGTCGACTCTCTCTCTCTCTCTCTCTCTCTGTGCGCTTCGGGTGTGTGTGCGTCTGTGTGCACAGATAACACGAAAGTCCCGATTTTTGCCTCTTCTGCGTTTAAAATAGTTTGAATGTGTAAATTGGCAAGACAAAACACATCCACATTATAAACTTTCACTCTATGATGGTTAAACTTAGCAGTTAATCCGCGAATCACATGCGTGCCGAACCGCGGGACCTGATCCGTACGGGTCACGGGTCAACTGCGATCCGTTCCACCATAGCTAACAACATATTAAACCGTTATCAACATGTTAAATTATGCTAGCAACATGTTAACAGCATGCTAAATAATGCTAGAAACATGATACTTCATGCTAGAAACAAAATGCTAAAACATGCTGGCAACATGCTAATTCACGTTAGCAATGTGCTAAAACATGCTTGCCGCATGCTAATTCATGCTAGCAACGTGATAAAAAATGCTAGCAACATGTTAATTCATGCTAACAATGTGTTAAAACATGCTAGCAACATGATAATTCACGTTAGCAGCATGTCAGAACGTTAGCAAAATGTAAATTCAAGTTAGCAACCTATTACAACATATTAATTCATGTTAGCAATGTGCTTTTTTCCGGTCTTTAACAGTTACAATTACAATAATTTTTGAAGTGGTTATTCCGAAAACAACCAGTGACTAACAACCACATATGCTCGTATTCTAAAAACAAAACAAATAAACATATTTTTCAGAACATCCTGCTGTACTCAGACTTCCAGGACTCGACCTTTGACCTGAGCCAGCTGCCGACCCATCGCTTCGAGGCCATGGATCATTTCAGCAAGTGTTTCCTGATAGTGAAGCTGAAGAGAGAGCAGGAGAGCGGTGAGCGAGAGGCGAGTCGGGACTGGAAAGCGGTGCGCGTGGATCTGGTGGCTCCTCCGCTCGAGCGCTATGCCTACGCCCTGCTGGGATGGACCGGCTCCACGGTATGAGCACCACTACACATAAGAGCTCTGATTGGACTAAATGAACCTCAGTGGTTCCAGTGCATCAAGCGAGTATGCTTGAGCTTTCGATTACCAAATTTGAGTGCTCTACGTGCTAATATGTGAATAAAAGCCTAAATGAAATCTGTTCATTACATAAAGTGATCGTGTCTCTTCAGAAGTTTTGGATGAAACCACTCAAAATCATTTGAATTATCTTTTTACGAACTTTCAATGGGGGACAGAAATCTTCATTTTTGGCTGAACAATCCCTTAAAATGTTAAATAATGCTAGCAACATGCTAATTCATGTTAGCAATGTGTTCAAACATGCTAGCACAATGCTAATTCATGTTAGCAATGTGTTTAAAATGCTAGAAACATGTTAAATAACGTTAACAATGTGTTAGAAAACGTTAGGAACATATTAGTTCATGTTATCTACGTGGTAAATCATGTTAGCAACGTGTTAATTAATAGTAGAAACAGAAGTGTTGGAATAAACTACTCAAAATCATTAGAATTTTCTTTTTACAAACTTTTAATGGGGGACAGAAATCTCAGATTTCATTCAAATATCTTCATTTGTCTTCATTTTTGGGTGAACAATCCCTTAAAATGTTAAATAATGCTAGCAACATGCTAATTCATGTTAGCAATGTGTTTAAAATGCTAGAAACATGTTAAATAACGTTAACAATGTGTTAAAAAACGTTAGGAACATATTAGTTCATGTTATCTACGTGGTAAATCATGTTAGCAACGTGTTAATTAATAGTAGAAACAGAAGTGTTGGAATAAACTACTCAAAATCATTAGAATTTTCTTTTTACAAACTTTTAATGGGGGACAGAAATCTCAGATTTCATTCAAATATCTTCATTTGTCTTCATTTTTGGGTGAACAATCCCTTAAAATTTTAAATAATGCTAGCAACATGCTAATTCATGTTAGCAATGTGTTCAAACATGCTAGCAAAAGGCTAATTCGTGTTAGCAATGTGTTAAAAATGCTAGAAACATGTTAAATAATGTTAGCAATGTGTTAAAAAACGTTAGGAACATATTAGTTCATGTTATCTACGTGGTAAATCATGTTTGCAACGTATTAATTAATAGTAGAAATAGAAGTGTTGGATTAAACTACTCAAAATCATTTGAATGATCTTTTTACGAACTTTTAATGGAGGGACAGAAATCTCAGATTTCATTCAAATATGTTCATTTGTCTTCATTTTTGGGTGAACAATCCCTTAAAATGTTAAATAATGCTAGCAACATGCTAAAACATGTTAGCTACATGCTAAGTCATGATAATAACAAAAATAATAAAACATGCAACAACATGCTAATTCATGTTAGCAATGTGTTCAAACATGCTAGCAAAATGCTAATTTGTGTTAGCAATGTGCTAAAAATGCTAGAAACATGTTAAATAATGTTAGCAATGTGTTAAAAAATGCTAGGAATATTCTAGTTCATGATAAATTATGTTAACAACATGTTAATTAATGCTAACAATGTGTTAAACATGCTAACGTTGTGTTAAAACATGCTAGCAATATGCTAATGCATGTTAGAAACATGATAAAACATGTTAGCAACACGCTAATTATTGCTAACAACTTGTTACAGAATGCAAACAAAACATGCTAATTTATGCTAGCAATGTATTAAAACATGCTAATTCATGCTAGCAATGTGCTAAAACCTTTTTCTTTTTTTCTTTAATAGCACTAGAGGTAAAGAGAAACACAAGGAGACAAAGTTCATCACAAGTAGCTTTTATATTCTAATATATTTATTTACACAAATGCAAAACAACATCATGAAAAAATAATGCATTCATTTAACAACATAAGATTTAACATATTTGCATCATTTACGTAAATGAAAGATTTCTGCACTCAAAAAAACATGGCACAATTTATTATTAACAATTATTTGGATTTTATTCAAATAATCCTATTGAAGAGTTTGTTAAAATGCATGAACATTTTATATGCAATTCAATACATAAATCTTACATTTAGGCCAAATACGTATAGTATCTACTGTGTTTGTGTCCCTAAACGTCCCACAAGCGCAGAGGAGAGACTTTGGGGCGTCCAGAGACAGATGCAGTTTGACTCGACCTGTTTATAGACGAACCCTGACCTTGAGCTTCAGGTCCGCGCGGACGCTCGACCCATCATCTGTAATTACAGTCTCCCACTCGCCGCTCCTGGGGTTTGCTATCCCATGATGCATCAGCACCCACGGCGTGTGTAGGATCAGCGCAGCGTCACTGTGATGAAGATGGAGAACGAGAAGACGTTAGGTTCTGAGGCGTATCATTATCACAGCCCAGGGTTTGAAATTAACTTTTTTTTACTCACCGGGCAATTTGGCTTCTAAATTTTTAATTTCACTTTGAAATTAATTTTTGGTATGTTTTAGCTTACCTCAAGGGCATCCAAGATGTAGGTGTCTTTGTTTCCGCAGTAGTTTCAATTTTGATATTTTTAGGTCAAACCGTTCTTGTCTGTCAGTCATATAATGCAGGTCTATGGTCACCACCTCAAAGAGCATGCACAGAGAAGTCCAAATTAAACATGATTTAACCCTTTAGCTGTCACCCCCCTTTTTGAGCGTTGATGTGAAAATGCACTACCCAAACTTAAACGGTTGTAATTCATGAAGCCTGTGTACTAAAGACTTACGGTTGGTCTCTTTTAAAAGAAGACTCTTGGTAGATTATTGCTGAAGTGGAATAAATTAATATAATTAAATTATTTAAAAGTTATTGAAGTTTAAGTTTATTGTTATGAAAATATAATAAAATATATATTTTTCTTTTATAAAAAAATAATAATAATAATAATATAGGTTTCAGCCTAAAAAATGACAGAAAGTCAAAGCCATATATCTAACCAAGTTGTGTTCCAAATTTGAAGTTGATATCACAAACATTGAAGTTCCCATGAGATTTTGTTTAGGCGTAGTACCAGAAATAGCCACCGGGTGCCATACATTCCATTGAATTTAATTGTATGCATTCTGCCATTACAAATTAATAAATTTCTATCCAAATATCACTTCTGTCACTAAATATGGAACCTTGAGACTCAGACCTTTCTGACAATATGTGTTTTGTCAAGATTAGAACATTTTTGATAATAAATTATAAAAGATGATGCCCAAAAGGGGAGGGGCCTAATAAAAAAAAAAAAACGTTTCTATGGTAACGCAACGTCCAATTTCAAAACGGTTTTCACAGGATTAATTCTGAGTTCGTAAGCTTTCAAATGATACCTAATTTATGATAACTACTAAAATATGTGATATAATGATAATAAAAAATTATATATATATAATATATATTATACTTTTTAGAGGACTTTTTACTTTACTTTTTAAAATATAATTTTATCTTTTTTTATTGACAAATACTAGATTATGTTTTATTATGAACTTTTAGCATTAAAAACCAAAGTTTCAATCATTAAAAGTGTGTGCGTCAACTTTTTGTGACAAAGGTCAGAAACACCTGTAATGAAGTTGATTTTTTGAGGCGCACTCTTGTCATAAATTCATATATTACTGTTAATACATAATTTGTAAGAAAAAACGCTAAAATATCTATTAAGGAGTCTTAAGCCTTTCCAATGATATATAGTTTGTCATGACTAGATTAGGATTTAATAGTAATATAGTGAAGTAAATTTAGGTTGCCCGTATACGGGCAGGTGACAGTTACTCGTAAATGGAAGTACACATTGATGGCCTAATGGTGCGTTCACACCGGACTCGAATAGCGCGTCAGCGCGAGTGATTTCAATGTTAAGTCAATGCAAAGACGCGTTACGCGCGTAAAAAATTCCTGCGGCGCGAATGAGGCGTAGAGCGCGGCGCGGTAGACGCGAATACGCCTCATTCGCGCGTCAAGTTCGCGCGAATTGAGCGTCTGGCGCGTTAAGCGCGTTACGCGCGAATGTTTTATGTAGTGCTTTTTGTGTATTCTCGCGTTTGACGCCAATTCGCGTATGCCGCCCGAGTTGAAAAATCTGAACTTCTGCGTCAATTCTCGCCGCGTTAACCAATCAGGAGCCTGCTCGCTGCTGTCACGTGGTGAAGTGACAGTTTATGATGTTATTTTATGTTTGGCCTCAATAAATTATTTTGTAATATGACTAAAATGCTTGGTGTGCAAAGCAAATCTTTCACATAAAAACTCGATTTCAATATATGAGAGATACTCATTTTGTATTGAATGCTATTTATTCCATATCTATTCTAGATTATATGAAACATTATTATTCTAATGTAAAGACAACAAACACAATTTAGTGTATAAAAACTTTTTTTTGAATCACAAGACAGGTTTCACTTTTGGAGGCTCCATTTATTATCAAAACAAAAATAAATGACAGATTAGGTGGATGCGGATGAGGGTGAACCTCGCGCCGGCTGTAGAGCGCGGGATCGACAGGCATAGACCACTCGAGGCCGAGGCCTTATACGGCCTACGCTGTCCTCGTCAGCGTCCTCACCGTTAGGTCCACCAAACCTAGCTCCTGGAGCAAATTGTGAAACTCCTGAAACCCTCCGGAGGGTCGGGTGGACCCGAGTACAGCGACGATGTCCCCTACGCAGCTGTTTCTGCTCTCCAGAGCATATACGAGCGGTGACTCTCTCGAACAATGCTAATGCTAATGCTCGATAAACATCTAAAAAGATGGCCGCCAACGGGTTTCGAAACTTTCGGCTCCGGATTTCGCCTCTGACGCGCGTAAATTTTGCTTCAAACATTTGTTTTTAGGCGCGTCAATTTCGCCATTGACACGCGAATTAACACAAAGTGGTCAAGCGTATAACTAGGCGGGAGGCGCGAATTTGACGCGCTATTCGCGTCCGGTGTGAACGCAGCATAAAGGCCTGTTCACACCGGGACGAAATTCGCGTGCGATATTCGCCGACGTTTAACGCCTCGTGACTAAACAAAGGGCGCCATTGTGAGTGTGCACACCGACGCGTAAAACGGCACGCGTAAAAGCATCATTTTTAAAAAAAACGCCTCGGTTTCGTTTTTTTGGTTTGACGCGCCGCGTTAAAAACTATCCGACCAATGAGATTGGCGCTTTTGCTCACGTGTCTGGAGCTTCTGAAGTTACAGTAAAACACAACTTGGGGGCGCTCAAACACAAAACGGTC